TAATTTTATACATTTCTTGTGAAAGAAACATTTCTTATTCAACGGCCATAAAAATTATTTATATTAATGATGTCTCCAAAGTTTAATGAAGTTTTTGCAGAAAAATAACTTATCAGAAATCGCAGCCGCCATTTGGTGCTCTGCTCTGCAACGAAAACAAGCTTAAGCAATGGCGACGTCGAACGGTGCACACTCGGTAAGTAATCCTACAATTTTTTGTTTATAGCATAGTTTATACGGATTATTCCCAAAAAAATATACATATTTTGGAAATGTTGAGTCTAATTAGTCTAGGAATTGATTAATTTTATGGAAAAAAACCTTTCAAACAGCTGTAGTCCATAAAGTGCATACGTGTCGGGCTGTGATTGGCAAGGACTCGTACAAAATGGATTCATAAAGAACGGAACATATCTGCCGTGTTATAGGGGAGTCGACTGTAATTAAATACAAAGTAATTTTTCTAGAGTAGGCAGTTAAGCTGCCATCTGGTAGTAATTTTAATTATAGTAAATTAATTTTGTGGTTGACTACAACTATAACACTATACTTATGGAACTAAAAGTCATGTATAAACAAGTATTGCTGGTACCCATGCCATAAAATTTTTGTGGCACTGCATTATGGCACAGGTGCCACCGACACTGTGTTTATACATGATTTTAAGTTCCTAAGTATAGTGTTATAGTTGTAGTGTAACCACAAAATACCGTATGACAATTCATTTATAATTAGTGATTATGACATTCATGGAAATTGGCACACGAGCAGAGTGAGTGGGCCAATTTCCATTCATGCCATAATTGCCTATATTATAAATTAATTGCTTAATATACTATTAATTTTGAATTTCTAGAAGAAAAGGATTGGCCTGCAGCAAGACTCAAATCCTGCACCTTCCATTTACCATGCAAATGATTGCCAATTACATTACCCAGATTTTCATTTGATCTTTGCTTCCATAATTATTAATTTAGACATAACCATCCAGGTCACTCATGGTACTGACTAGATGGTGCCATAAATAGCTGGCTGAGTGCCATAGTGGGAGTTAAAGGCTGTGAGCAATGAAGTTGTCCCAGGTGGCACTGTGAGTAACCAATATGGTTATAACTAAATTAATAGTTCTGGGAGTGCAGATTGAACAAAGGTCTGAGCAGCATAACTGGCTACATATCTGCATGGTAAGCAAAAGTTGTGGATTCAAGCTCCACTCTAGGCTAATTCTTTTCACTCTAGAAATTCTAAATTAAAATAAATTTATTATAATTATTAAAATTATCACAAAATGGCAGCTTAACTGCCTACCTCTATACAAATTACTTTGGATTTAATTATTAACTTAGCCTAATCATAACCTGATAATTTGACAGATCTGGCTTTAATCAAAAATTATGTTTGTTGAGTTGTTCTTTAATGAAAATTAATGAAAAGTATTTGTTCTATTTTAACAGTCTGATTTTAAAAAATTATTTACTATGTCTAAGAGATAAAATTTTTGAGATAGATAATCAAATCTGTTATTTTTATAGAAAAACTTTATAATTTTAAAACTCTAATAAAAAAAAATGTTATATACAATATAACAGGTTTTAGACTATAAACAGATAAGGAAAAATTTTTTAAAATAAATTATAAATCTGTTAATTAAACGAAAAATGGGTTTCACATAACCAGTTATTAACTGGTTATGTGAAACCCATTTTTCGTTAAAATTGTAACGTGGTAAAATTAAAACTTTCTTGAATCTAAAAAATGATTTTATACAAAATAAACTTTTTCTCATATTATACAGTGCTCCAGTGGGCAGGGAAATGGGAGGGGCTTCCAGAAACAAAGTAATGACTACAAAGCAGACCATATGTCAAAAGATTTAATCAAAATAAATAACTAAAATTAATGTGTGTCATCATCTGTTATGAGATTTTGTTAAAAATATTTTTATAATTATTATAAAATAGCAAAAGACTTAATTTTGAGGGTAGAGATGAGTTCTATAAAACACTGTAAATGCTAACAACAAGTAAAATCTTCTTTAAGTCTGATCCCTCACAAGATATGACACAAAACCACCCTCTATCTCTCCATCCCCTTGACCTTTCACAACCAAATTTAATAGCATCAATGCCCCTTATATACAAGTTATCGTGCCAAATTTGGTTTCTTTATCTTCATCCTGACCTCAGATATTAAGCGAAATAGACACACACACACCACAAAATTTTTTTTGTTGTTTTTTGACTGTTTTGGGTTCAGGAGGTCTCAAAATGTGGAGATTTGCAAAAAACTCAGAGGGTCAAATTTGACATGATTTCCATTACTTTCCCTGTAAGGGAAAGTAATGGAATCATGTCAAATGGAATAAAATTCACATTCCATTTGACACGATTTCATTTACTTTGACACGATTTCATTTACTTTGACAATTTCATTTACTTTTACATGATTCCATTACTTTCCCTGTAAGGGAAAGTAATGGAATCATGTAAAATTCACACAGATGGTAATTTTCTTTTTGTAAAATTCACAGAGATGGTAATTTTCATATTGCTTTCCATTACAGGAAAGCAATATGAAAATTACCATCTGTGTGAATTTTACAAAAAGAAAAAAATTTCATTATATTTTCATATATTAATTAGAAATTAAAGAAAATAGTTATATCATACTCTTTTAATTTCTTCCTCATCATGTGTATGTTGCTGAGTAATAGATATTAACTGTTGTTGCATTCCTTGTAAAGCTTGTTGGAGCAATCTCAATTGACGTTCTCTGGCTTCTTGTTCTTGACGATTTTCAGCTCTTAAAACTTCTACTTCATTTCGATATGCTTCCAATTGACAGCGAAGTGAGTCATTTTCATCTTGGAGATGTGGCTCTTTGTTTGAATCTAAAATGATAATATATCAGTATTTTCATAAAAACATTATGATTTTTTTATTTACTGTGTAAAAATATTTTAATATAAAAACTTTTTTGTAATAGAAGCATGCAACGAAGTTTTAGTGCATGACATGGATAGAAGAAATACTTTTTAATGATAAATATTCAAATATTAATAGCCAATGAAATTTTCATTTTTCTCAATTGTTTTATAAAAATTAGAAATAAATCCATTTTTAGTTTTAAATTTAAACTAAATAAAATATAAATTTTATACAGATTAATGTCAAAATTGGAGTCCATGATATGTTTTGAATAAAATATAAAATAATAATAATGGTAATTCCATTAATTAATTAATTAATAGTGAGAAATGTGTATTCAGAAGTTTGTTTATTTTTCACATTTGAAGAAATCTGGTATACAATAATCAATGTGACAATGTTATGATAAAAAAGTGCAGCCATACCAGATCTAATGCATTCCTAAAAAATTAAAATATCAGAAATTAGATTTCTGAAAGTTTTTCCATTGTTTATCCAATAATCTACTGTCAATAATATTTATACAATAATTCCACAGTCTATCCAATAATCTCAATGAATTGTTCCCAAATGACACAAACATTAAAAAACAAGAACTGTTAGAACAAGAAGTGATAACTAATCAGATTTATCAATCCAAATTCTTGGCATGATATTAAACATTACAAACTCCAATTACCTTACTAACAAAATATGAAGTCATTAATGAAGTCATTAATAAAATTTATAAACATATTCTTTAATGAAGTCATTAAAGAATATGTTTATAAACAGTAACCCAACAACTAAGCTTGCATAGTATCCTCTATTAGGCATTGTATGTAGGGAGTCCAATATTAAAGGTACAGGCCAAAATTACACTAACATTTATAAATGAAGAAAATATTTAATACATTCCATAAAAACTACATACTTTTGTTTATTTCTCGACATAATCACCATAAACGTTGAGACATTTAACCCAGCATGACACTAGTTTAAACATCCCTTTACGGTACTGTTGCTTGTCAAGTTGCTTGATGTAGTCCAGAACGGTGTCTTCCAATTCCTCCTGATTCACAAAGAGTTTCCCTGCCAAAAATTTCTTCAAAGGTTCAAATAAATGAAAATCTTATGGGGGCTAAATTTGGACTATATGGAGGATGTTGTAGGACCTCCCAAGTCTGCTGTGCAAACCACAGTTTGATTTGATTTAGCGTGTGGAGTATAGCCCAGATTTAGCCCCCTCAGATTTTCATTTATTTGGACCTTTAAAGAAATTTTTGATGGGGAAATACTTTGCATATCAGGAGGAATTGGAAGACACCATTCTGGCTACTTCAAGCAACTTGACAAGCAACAGTACCGTAAAGGGATGTTCAAACTAGTGTCATGCTGGGATAAATGTCTCAATGTTTATGGTGATTATGTTGAAAAATAAACAAAAGTACATAGTTTTTGTGGAATGTATTAAATATTTTCTTTAATTATAAATGTTAGTGTAATTTTGGCCTGTATCTTTTAATATTGGACTCCCCTCATATATGAACTGTATTTTCTTTAATTATGCAGTATACAGCAATAAAAATATTATAATGATATTGTATATATCACATTTAAATATTTTTGTATAAAAACAGAAAAACAAGTAAAATGGCAAAACTGTATTTGGGACAAGACTATGTCTCGGAGACAGAATCACTTTGATGCTCATTCTCATTCTCCTATCTTCTTCAATATCGCTGCTTTTGAGCGCGATCGTTCAAACTTTGCCGGCCATGACCACGAGAATGTTCATGATGCATCTTCGATGAAATTAACTTATCTAATTTCAAAATTTCTCTGTTGCCTGTTGGCCTGGGTTGAATTTTTGTTGATGCGTAATGAAAAGTTCCCATTTTTGAAAAAAATAATCGTGGCTATTGTATCGTCCAAAATTATTTTTTTTATTTTGCACAAACAATATACAGTTTAACCCGATTATAATGTCATTGAATGTAACGACAACCCTAATATAACGTCAAATTTTTATCGGTCCTATGATTTTACTATACTAGATACTGTTAAAAAGAACCCACTTGTAATGACATAAAACCGTTTTAACGTCATATTTGAAGCACTCCCAAATTTACAAAATTAGATTACAAATTTTATTTAACATAGAAGAAATTATGTGTTCAGTCCTAAGGTCAGAGTTCACTTCTTAGAATGACTGCGGGTGGTACTCTCCTTTACTTGACTTCAGTGGAGTGAGGTGGCTGTTTTGCCTGTTTGTAGAAGAGAGTCGCCATTTTGTATTTTATTTTGACTCGATTCTCGGTCCCCTGACTACCTACAAGTCTGTATTTTTTATGCGCAAATGATTTCGACACCTAATACTCTGTGCCAAATATCAACTCTCGATGTGTACTCCTTCATACCTCTATGCTGGTAAGAATGAGTGGCAGTACAATTTTATAAACAAGACATAGTCTTGTCAATAATGAAATCTATTATAATGATCTGTTACGAATAATCTTGCATTGAAAAATTTTGAGAAAAATCACTAAACTAAACAACAGTAGGACACAGATAACACTATTAAAACAAAAGAAAATAGACAATGGAAACAAAGTTACCTTCTATTTCCCATTCTTTTTTACTAGCAAAACTTTCAAGTTTTTCATAAATGCACTTCAAAGAAACTCATAATACATTTATTATTTGATTCAGATGTCTGATCATTTGTACTAGAAGACATTTATTGAAGCAGGAATTCAAATAGTGATATATGGCTATATATTGGCTATCTTTTGAACCAATATCATTGTTATATTCAAACAATAACATTTTAAGACCACATTTTATATCACTTTTGTCATATTTAAAATAAATTTGCATTTCTGATAAGCTATGAAATTTTGATCATAAGAAAAAACTTAGTTAAATAATTAAATTTAAATAAATTTTGGAATTTAATGTTTTTGCAGTTTTAAATAATTTAATTAAAAATATAGACAAATATGATCATTCTCCAACACATTGCATTTAATTGCATGCACATGAGCAAGAATGAAAAAGAAATAATAATAAAATTGTTTAGTTTCTTTTTTTACTGTAGTTTATTCCTAAAGATTACAGTAACTAATGAACAAATTTAACCAAATAAAACATGGTAAATTCCATATTACAAAACACTTTTTAACAAAACTGACTCTGAAAATTTACAAATTTTAGAACATGTTTACTTTCATTATTATGATCATATCATATATATTTAATTGATTAAATATGATCATATTCATGATCATATTTATCATATTTAAATATGATCATATTCATGATCATATTTAATCAATTAAATTATTCTGAAAAAATTTTAAAAATTGTTATACAGTGGTACCTCAGGATACGAAATTAATCCGTTCCGAAACTGAGATCGTATCATAAAAATGTCGTAAGGTGGATCATCTTTTCCCATACGATTACATGTAAAACCAAATAATTCGTTCCAACGCGAAAAACATACTCAAATTAAAGCCAAGTAATACATTAAAAAAAATAACTGTAGTAAGAAAAACAAATGAAAAATGCGAACTAATGTAACGTCGTATGATGAGTTTTTGTTCGTATCGTGGAGCAAAAATATGTTCGAATTTCATGTCGTATCCTGAAAATTTCGTATGCTGGGGCGTTCGTAACCCGAGGTACCACTGTACTTTAATTATTACTTCATCTGTAAGTATAATATATGACAGAATATTTTGTATTTAAATTTCAGATTTATAGAGCACACAAACTTTAACTATTCTTTTCTTAATACAAGCAAAATTTTAATTAAGAAAACTAAATTTTAAATTCTTAATAAAGCTTATTTATAAATTTTATATATCCTGTCCAAAAACCGCAATAACAAGTGGATAAATATGTAACACAATTTTTATGATCACAACTTGTAGTAAAAACACTACCATGATTTGTTTTTCCAGCATCATCATCTTCCAGTCGTATCTTTTTTGCTGTTTGGTTTTCTCCATCTTCACCATCACTTAATTCCATTTCAAACTCTTCTCGTTCATTAAGAACTTCTTCAAGTTGAGCATTTTTTATTTCCTATCATTTCATACAAATTTTATACTTTTTATATTTTGCAAACAAATCATTATTAATAAATTATTATTTATATATTATAATTAATTTTTTTCTGCAGAGTAAATCTTAAGAAATACTTCCTTCACTCACATAAATTTAATAATATATCTACAATGCATATCATCATTTATGGCCTGATATTTCATGTTCTCACCTGTTTTGGTCCTGTTCCAATAAAATCTGGTACTATATTTTTGCTGGATGTTTAACATATTTTATATAGTACTCACCTTTACAAATACGATCTTTACAAATATGAGAAGTTTCATATGATAAGACAAATCTGAATAATGATTATTATTTATAACTAATATTTTACATGAAAATATTTAGAAAAGAATATTTTTATATCATGTTTACTGTTAAAGTCCACAAACACTAAAACAAGTAACAGGAATCATGTTTGTTTTTGTGATAAAATGTTTTACAAAATCTGTTGCCTCATTGTCAGATCCTATAAGTTTCGGAATCAAACTAAAACATGGCAAGTGTTTCAAAGTTAACATCGATGAGAGAAACAATGTTGTAATGTTTTAGTTTGATTCAGAAATTTGTAAGATCTGACGACAAAGTAAACAGGTCTTGAAAAACATTTTACCACAAAAACAGACATGACTTCTCTACTTGTTTTAGTGTTTGTAGACTTTACTTTAATTTCTTAGAGAGTCAGTAAACATGAAAAATAATATACAAGTTATTAAAACTGAATTTCAAGAAAATAGTAATCACAGTTTTGTCTTATCATATAATATAATCCACTAATTAAATTTTACCATATTTTGTTATTATTATTTGTACAAATATATGTTTGCTTGGTCTTATTTCTTCTTATGCATGGACAATTGTCTTTGCT